CCCCCGCAGTACCAGTCACCGGCGGGGGCCGTGACACAAGATGAGAACTCCTCACCTCACCTGCCCTGCATTCTCTTGCCCTAAACCAGGCTTTTCTTCAAACCTAGCTTTGCTCTGAGGCTCTCTGCTGACCGTTTTCCATTCAGAAATGGCCTCCTTGACAAAGAAATCTGAGGCAGGAAAGGACAGCCAATCTCCTTCCTGAGAGCAGGACTGACATGTCCCCCGCCACCAGCAGAGTTACCTTTTTCTTCGGTCCATTCGTGTGCACGTAGACCAGTTTGTCTTTTGCATGTGAGATGCCAAGGGCTCTTCCAATCACACTGTTGAGAAGGTTTTTGGGCTGTGGGAACTCTTTTAATAGGTCCCTAGAAGCTAAGAAAATAAGAACAAAAGAATTACAGTTGTTTTCTTCTTCGAAAAGTCCATGGGGTGTGTGCCTCAGAGAAATCCTGGGCCTCATACTGAGGATGTTGGCTCGTGACCCTAAACCACCCGGGACCATCTTAGAAAAGGAGGGAGGATGGCTTCGGGGTCTACAAAGGAAACGTGGGGTTAGACCCACTTGCGTGACCATCTCCTGAAGGAGCGTCCCAGTGACCTACACAGCCGAGCGGGTAACCAGCCAGCATCCTCTTCCCGCCCCAAGCTCCCGACTTAACACATCTGCTACAGAAGCCTAACGGGCAATAAACCCTCTATTCTGATGTCTGGAGGAAAGCACAAAACAAAACAAAAATCCACCAGACACACAAACTGGAGATCAAAGACACTGCGAGACCCTTCCTAAAATAAAAGACACACAAAAGGGAGGATTGGCTCCAGAATCTGAATACCAGGCCCCAGCTCTTAGCTCTACTTCAGCACTCTGCAAAAGGCCTCCCTAGAGTTAGATTATGTGTAGGGACACTGATTAGCTGAGACACAAGTGTGAACTATTCCTTCCCCAAGTTCTCTGGAGTCAAGTTGTGGCGTGTGGCGGGAGGCATCAGACACGAGAGGTACCTCACTGTTTTTACTTGGACCAATCAATCCCGGAGCACAAACGAGTGAGTTATCTACCTAAAGGCAGCTTGTGCCAGACACAGGGCTTAGCGAGACCACAAAGAAGCTGCTGGGAGAGGCTAAAAACAGAAGTAAAGGCCCCAGAGCACCACAGTAGCCCTTCAAGAAACGCATGGTCCGAGACCTGTGGAGGAGATGAGAAGCCTTTCATTCTCCGGCCAGTCTCTAGCATTATCTTCAACTTGAAACCAGCTCCAAAAAGGAACCTCGTAGAGGGTACAGACACACCCATGTGCACCTGCACAAATCAATCATAAATCACCTGGGGAGCTTTTCCACAGCCCTGGACAGACACCGCAATCCCTACAGTGCACTTGAAAATAGTGGTGATGTTGGGGAAAGCTCTGTACTTTGAAAAGACTCCTCCAGGAGTTCTAATGTAACCCTGCTGCCTGGGCTGAGGCTGCTTCCTCAGGGCAGACCCCTGTGCCACTGACCAAGGCGGATTCCGTCTGGCTCTGGCTCCCTCTAAATGATAACTTTTTAAGCAACTAAGAACCAAGCAGTCAAGAAAGAACTACCTAAGTAGGTTCATGAGGGTTTGATCCCACAGAGAACCTAACTTTAAGCAGCCACTAGACCTACAGGTATAAAGAGACGTGTGCGGGTACCCCCTCCAGCTCTACAGGACACGCAGAGGCCAGCTCTCTAGCCACCCCTGACGGGCAGGGATGCTCACCAGTTTCATTCCTTGCACTCTTCAGGAGGGACAGCGCTGGGGTCCCATCAGGGCAATCATTTTGTCTCTATCTGAGATCCTGAAGTCCCAAGATGTATTTTGGGGTGTTTCCCGCACTGGTGAGGATGTGCTTAGCCTCGATGCTCTAACCACTGACCACATATCATTGAAGGAGTTAGACGGTTTACATTTCTCTCACTCTCTCGAGGTCCTGCACCTCTCACCTGTTCTTGCCAGGTGCAGGGTCTCCAGTCCTAGAACCTCCACGCTCGGGGTCCATTTGGGCCTGTGCCACACTGAGCTTTAGAAGAGCAGGGTTGTGGCTCGCTAGGGATGGCGGTCCCGGCCACCATCGGAGAGTGGGCTAGCCCGCCAGGCCCGACCCCGGCCCGCGCCCCTAACTCTGCCATTCCCAGGAGTCAAAGGCGTCACCGCCCGGCCGCCCTCGCCACTGCCCTCACCGTTCACCATGCTTCCGTCGCCTTCCTCAGGCCTGCAGGGGGCCCCCCCTGCCTCGGCCTCGGCGGCCTCCTTGGTGCGCTCAGGGCGGGCGCAGCCTGATGAGAAGCCGCGCGAGCGTCCCTGTCGCCCGGCGGCACGGGGACCGGGCGGCCGCAGACGCGGAGAGACGCCGGCGGCCAGCGCCATGAACCTCCTGGCGGCCGCCATCGCGCTCCCGCCGGCCCCCGCGGGCCCAGAGCCGGGGACAGCGCAGAAAGGCGGCTCGCGCGCCCCCTGCTGGACGGGCGGACCCAGGAGAAGGGGAGCTGAGCCAAGACAGCCCCAGCAGCCAGGTTCTCGCCTAACACAGCCCAGGGCCTCCAGCACCCCAGGCTGCAGTCCATCCCCGGGCTCGGACCCTGCGGAAATCACTCTCAGTAAATGTAAACCCACAGACTCGTTATCTGAATCTGTGGCAGGAAGAGGAAATGAGATTTGGGGGGTAAGTACTGCAGGCCTAGTTCAATATACATGCAAGGAAACCAGATGTTCCCTCCAGGTCCTACCCATTGCTGCTAAATACCTCTCGGGTGCCCTGGCAAATTGGCTTGCACTCCAAGGCCACCCAGAAGATAACTGCTAAACTGGGGCACCTCATCTCATTGAATGGTTTACAAAGTAAAGCTGGTGAAGAATCTGGAGCCAGGACAGGGAAGAGCTCTTGAACATAAATAGACCAGATTTACTGCCTGGCACTGGAGTCAGGGGTGAAAGATACCCTGCTTGGACACTGTGCCCAAGAACTGAGCTGGTCCAGCAGTGAGAGTCTGAGGCTGCTGTTCTGTCCTTGTTTGAAAGCCAGATGGGGTTCTGTTTTCCAAACTGCTATGCCTGGGTTCTAGCCAGGCTCATTCCTCTTCTGCCTGTTACGGTGCTGAGGAGTAGGGCTTTGGGTCAGCTGGAAATCAGACTGAATCCGCATGCTGGAGTAGTAAAATGACAGCAAGGGGCAAGGGGGCCTTGGTCTGTCACTTTGAAGGAGGCCTTGGTCAGAGGCTGGCAGTGCAGTTGAGTAAGCTGGGAGGTTTCGTGTGTTTTTTCATTCTAGATGACACTGATGATCCCCTGGAGAGCTTATTAAAGCATTACTAGGAACCACTTCTAGAGTTTCTGATTCGTTATGTCTGGAGCGAGACTCAAGAACCTGCATTTTTAACAAGTTCCCAAAGTTAACACTGTGAGAACCACTGGCTTATGGCAACAACATAGGATCTGAGTGCTAATACTTAGGCTTAGTCCCAGCTCTACCACTTACCAGCTGTGACCCTTGGGCAATGTCGTCAATTGGGAAAATTAGGACAAACAGGCTCTATTCATCTGGCATGGCTATGGTTAAGATAAAACAAGAATGTTCGGGAGGCAGCTCTGCAGTGCTCTGTGACAGAAGACCCTACCCTGAGGTCTGAGACAACAGGGCCAGATCCCTTAGAGACAGACCAAGGCAGGATGTGGCAGCTTCAGCTCCACTCCTCCATTCTCTCCTTAGTGGGTTTTTATCCGGAAAGGAGCAAAATGAAAGACAGCCTTGGCAGCACTGATGTGACCTCACGGGGGACACCCATCTGTATCAAAGCCCCCTGCCCAGATCATCCACATTGGGATGGCAAGACCCTTGGGGCAGAACGCGATTCTCCAACTAGCCAAAAGCTGAGGCATCCACCCAGCTTCAGGAGTAGTTTTCAAGGGTTAGCAGCCCAAATTCCTTCAAAAGAATCCAGAAGCTTACCAAGTTTGCTAGTGGAGTCAAGGACTGAGGCCAAGTTTTAAAAACTGTGGTGTCTGAAAGCTGGAGACAACACCTGGACAAAAAGAGCCAGGGCCCGGGCCCGGCACAGTGCTTCAGGAAGCCCTAGTTTGGCACTCTGCTGTGACAGCCACGGAGTCAGGCTAAGGTGGAAATGCAATGGTTTCATGGATCTGCTCCCAAAGGGGCCAAAGGGGAGGGACTGGCCATGAGTCACTTGCTCAAGCTGGGTTACAGGTACATAGGGGTTCATTATACTATTTTCTCCATTTTAGAAAACATACTTCAAACACGTGTTTGAAACTTTAGGTTAAAAAAAAGCATCAGGTGATGCTGACCAAATAGTTGATTCTCAGGGAGCTCCCTGTCCCCTTTTCCTATTTCATTTACTTCATCTGGGCTCTAACAGCTGGTGTCACCTTGAGCAAATATTTCACCTCTCCGAACTTCACTGCCACTTATAAATTGAGGACAATTCTTAGACCAGCTCTTGGAACCCTTCCAGTACTGTGATCCTCCTCCCCTTGGTCTAGAGCAGGGGTTGCCAAACTATAGCCTGTGGACCAAATCTGCCCACTGCCCGTTTTTATAAATAACGTTTTTTGGAATAAAGTATTATGTATTTGTTTTTTGGAATTTAAGTATTATGTATTACGGCTTTCATGCGACAATGGCAGAGTTAAGTTGCTGCAAGAGAAACCATATGGCCCACAGAGCCTAGAATATTTACTCTCTGACCCTTAAAGAAAGTTTGCCAACTCCTGCTTTAGAGGACCTTGAAGAAAGAAGGGCTCAGGTGTACCCCCCTTCCTTTCCACCAACATTAAGCCTTCTCCACTCTCTTCTTGGGGGAGAGAGTGTTGATTCCTTTGCCTGTGAAAAAGAAGGAAAGTTCTGAGAAAAGGAAGGGTTCCCAGCTCAGAGATCTCTCCATTCACTTCGGGGTGGAACACATCATCTGGTACTAACTGTGCTAAACATTGACATCTAGCTGCAGGAATTAAGGTGTAAAGGATCTGCTGAATACGTAGGAGGATGTTTTAGGGTCTTAAACTTTGGAGGCCCCAGGAAAAGGCAATGGGAGGGAGCCCGAGACAGTCCCGACTTTGGGTAGACCAGAGAATTTCCAGAGGGGAAGCGAGAGGGACCCCTGACACCTGGAGAAACCAGGGTCTCAGCCAACATTTGCCAACTTACTCAACCATAGTTAGATATTTTTAAGGATGGTCAAAATGGCAAGAAATGGTCCACCTGGTTGGCAACAGGAAAGGGGAGCTACAGGGCCAGGTGGCCACCCTGATCCCCCTACCTGTCCTCATGGCTTTCCTGTTCACATACGTAAGCCACAAGGTCCCTTGAGGTAAACCACCGAGAGGAGGGGACATCTGCCTGAGAGAATGGACAGGAAAGATCAGTCCTGTGGCCCCCTTGGATCCTGCCAGGTGTTGGTGCACGTTGCTTTCCAGAGCTCTGTCTCAGATCTGGGTAGGTGGGAAGATTCACAGGGGAGGCTTAGAGGCGAGTTTCTTAGTTTATTCATCCTTTACCTTGGAAAGAAGCCTTGGACAGAGGATGGCAGTAGAGTTGGAGAAGAGGAGGAGACTAGGAAAGAAGGTGATAGTTTTTTCCAATTCCAAACCTGACTGTGACAGGTACTGTCACCTATTCAAGTGGCCACGATTTTCTGAGTGTTGTTTTCCTATTTGAATACCTGAGAGACTGTCTGCCATATACTTCCTTCCTAAGAGCAGAGGCACCACCGAAGCCTCTAGGGCAGGGGTCTCTAACTCCTGGGCCACAGACCAGTACTGGTCCGTGGCCTGTTAGGAACTGGGCTGGACAGCAGGTGAGCAGCAGATGAGCGAGCGAAGCTTCATCTGTGTTTGCAGCCGCTCCCCAGCACTAGCATCACCGCCTCAGCTCCACCTCAGGTCATCAGGCATTAGATTTTCATAGGAACACCAGTCCCTGGTGCCGAAAAGGTTGGGGACTGCTGTTCTAGGGAATCAGAAAACATGGCAGAAAGGTCCTACGATCATGTGGACGAAGAGATCTGTTGCTTCTGTTATGATGAAAAGAGACAAGGACGCTTCTAGCTGAGCGGGGGAGCAGGGAGGGAGGAAGATAGGGCAGAGAGAGGGAAAGGCAAAGATGCATACACCCACGGATGCCTCTGGGGGTGTAGCTGTGAGGAGACAGACTCAGCGTCTGTGCCCCTCTGGGAAGACAGAGTGGGGCCTGTTGGGCCTCCCCACCAGGAGCAGTGGCCCCTCCCAAGGGCGGCCCCCTTCTCCTCTCATGTGCTCAAGGAGGCACTGCCTACCCGTGCTGCCTGGTTAATCCCAACTAACCATCTTTAAGCTTAGCCAAAGCACGTCTGACACTCTCAGAGCCACTCACCTGCCATGTTGGAAATGTTAACGTTCAGCCTTTTCGAGTTACAGGGCATTTTAAGAAAGAAAAAAAAAAGGGCAATCAACTCTTGTTTTGGCAATGGCAAGGGGTGGCATTTCTTTAACACCTAAGTCAAATGGTCAGAGGGACCGGAAGTACTTATTTCTATCCTGCTGGCCATAGTCACGACCACTGCAGCAGGAGAGCGGTGCACGTGCAAACCGCAGGGGACATGGCGGCTGCGTGAGCTGCAGCAGCCGAGGTGCTCTGTGCCCCCCGCACCCTTCCTGAACATTTGACCTTCAAAGCACTTTACAGACAGAGCTTAAAGGGGATATGTTGTCTCCACATGAGGCAAAGACCCTATGACCTAAAATAGTGTCCTTCCGCTAGGCAGCTGGGGGAGGGGTGTGAACAGGCAGCCAGCAGGGCAGAGAAAGGCAGCTGTCAGGACAAGAAAGAGGCCATCAGAATCACTGGTTTGGGCAGACCTGGGAGAGATCTCCATCTGAGGGAGGACAGGAGACGCTCAGGGGCAGAGAGGCTTCCCTGGGTCCTATGGCTGGGCCTGTCCCTGGGTATCAGTGGGACCCGAGGTGTACTATCACCTGTCTGAAGGCTGACATCCTTCCCGATCACAAGGAGAGCCTACCTTGCCAAACAGACTGAGAGGCAGATTTTAATGTCAGTAAAGTGCTTTGAGGTGCTGGGAGGAGGCAGGGAAGTGATTTGCCAGGCATCCCCGAAGCCTCCCAGATGGAAGGCACTGGGCCGAGAAAGGGCTCACTGCTCGGGCCCCGGGACGAGCGCCCTACACCTTCTAAGCCTCCTGGGCCAGGGGCTGCCTGGAGACCCAAACCCCACAGACTGTCTGCGTTGGGGCTGAACACCCAGACTGAGCCCGGCCTTCATTCCTGGTTACACGAGGAGGCCCAGGGAGACCAGAGGGTCTAAGCCACGTGGCTAAGGATCATGAAATGACCCAGGCCCTTCCCAACGACCTCACCTTGAGGGCTCCACCTGCTCTGCTAACCCCATTCCTCCTCATTTGCCTTCCAGAGGCCCATGGGCCTGGCGCCCGGGCTCCCGCTGCTGCCCACCTCCCCACAGACCCTAGGCCAAGCTGGTGCTGGAGGCCAGGCTCCTCCCTTACCTCGAGAGATGGTCCCTCCAGGGGCAGGGTTGACACACATGGGTGGAAGGCGGGGTGGGGGAAGTTTGCACTGACGCTGCCTGTGCTGGGCCCGATCTGGGGAAAGAGAGAGGGTATCAGGGCGGTGTGTTCTCACCCCTTAGGTACAGACCCCTGGGCAAACTCGTCCCGGAGCACCTGTGAGCGGCTCTGCGCAGCAGGGTTGCTGGCCAACATGTGCAGCCAGTCACGGATTCTGAGGAAGTGTCACCGATGCCAAACAGAAAGAAGGCGGTTGTTTTATGTCGACATGATACATGAGTGCCCTGTCGAGTTCCCTCCTTAGCTCTCAAAGAAGTCTTCCTACTGTCCTTTGGCCACCCTCTATGAGTTTAACCCACCCCATGTGCTTCTCTATAGTCTTGAGCTGTGCAAATAAGATAGGACAACAGTTGAAAACTGAAAAGCCATAATGCCACGTAAATCCCCTGGGATCTACCCCTTATGTCTTCCACGTATGGTAGCTATCCCTGTATCTGCTCTGGGTTCCCCAGATAGCCACTTCAGCCACGAGATCTCAAATTATTCTTTCTCTCTAAGAACTGGGCAAGAGACTTGGGGTCCTCCCCAGGAGCCAAGACCTGCTCCACACTCAGCAGCCTGCTCCCTTTCCTAAAGTTAATGATTTGCCATTCCAAGTATCTCTATTCAAATAGAGACTAAATACTACTCATCAGTAACGTATATGGTACATTTTAAGAAGTCTCAAAATTTCGATATACATAAGCTAAAATTAAGACACTCACTGAACCTTCTATGGGTAAGAAAGGTTTAAGGTCTTCGAAACCACACAAATGGTGAGAACGTCAGAGACTCACTGGTCTGGGGAAAAGGTGCATGAGCTCTCTGCTCTCTTTGGCCCACTGGTTTTGGGGTCATAAATGAGGCGGGAGAGGAACAGGGACACACACACTCGAGAAGCAGCCTGCTCTGCTACAACTGATGCCCATTTTTATCCTGCAAATTAGCTCATGTCCAATTGGTAAATAGGGGAATGACAGCAGGAAAACAAGAAGCCCTGGTTCAAGTGTACTTTTTCCAAGGCAAGGGATCCGAAAAAGCAGGAGAACTATAATTTTCAGCATGAAAAGAAAAAACCCTTTCAGCTATATTTATAAAAAAACTAAAACGGAGTGCCTGTAGAGAATCAAGGTGGTAGACACAGGGGTTCATGATACAATTTCCTCAATATTTCAGAATTTTTGAAAATTTTAATAAAATGTTGGGGGAAATGAGCGAACTCTTGGGCTCGGGCCCTCCTCTCCCACACTCCCTAACGGAAGCCGCACTGGCTCAGAGCTGCACTTCCACCTGCGCTGCCACAGCCACTGCCAGCTCTGTTCTCGTCAGCATGCTCTGGACGCGTTCGGCATCGCACTGAGCTGCCTGCTTCGGTGGTCCAAAGCATCTCCCCAGGCACCGATGATTGCTTCTGTCGTACTCTGTTCATAAAGTTGCAGTGGTAATCGCCTCGATTCTATTTTTCCCATAAGCCTCTTATAATGTTATAGGTGTGTGATTTTGCAGAAAACACATATAGTGTTATAGCAGAAATGCCTGTAGGGTCTTCTGGAATAAAGTGCCTACGATCAAGGTTTAACTTGGAACTAATTCCATTGAAAGTAAGGTTGGAAATGGCCAGCTCAACCTCCCTGTTCCTGGTTGAGGAGGGTCCTCATTCATATCCAGGGATGCTGGATTTAAAAAAGAATAAATGATTTGATGATTATCGATGATCTCATCATCAAGCGTTCTCGGTAGTTGGGGCAAAGTTGTTCAAATCCCACAGCAACATCACTGATCCTTCTTCTGACCGTGGAGCTGAACAAACCGCTGTTGATCCAGTGTTTTTCAGTTGTATGCTGCCTGTAAAAGACTCAGCTTGCTCTCTTTGGCCTGATTCTGATGGCATTACAGCTGAGAGACGAGAAACCTATGTTAAGATGCTGGCAAAGGAAGTAACAGGTCATTTACCAGGCATATAAGTATTCTGGTTGGGAGCTGTTGGCAGCTCAGTTGAATTACATAATAGAAAAGATGGTTGCCATAGGGAATTGCTTTGGCCGTCACCATCAGAATCAATAAATGGTCCATCTCACTGAGACCGTGAGCCCCTGAGCACCTACAAGGAGGCATCTCTGAAACATAGTTGTCTCCACCCTAGTGTCCCATATGCAGCAGGCGCTCAATCATGCAGCCACACAGCAAACTGCATGCCGAGGCCAGGCTGTCACTCTCCAGCAAAACATCAGCTCCGGTCTGTACCCCAAATAAAGCGAACTACTCGAATGTATCAAGGACCTGCCAACCCAAGACTAGGGGCTGGGGACAGACCAGAGCCAAGTGCTTTTCTACATCATCTCTACTCTTCGCTCTACCCCTAATGACAGGCACTGGGAAACAGGATTGGGTGAGTTCACACCTTGCTAGTGTTAGTGGGGACCAGATTCAAAACCCAGCCAGTATGACTCAGAAGCCACATTACGTTTCCTCTCAAGACTCATGACACCCTAGGGAGTTCGTAATCTCATCGTGAAGAACAAAGAAACATGTAAAAACTCCATGAGAGATACAGAACAATCCCACAGAACAATAAAAGTGTCACAAGGCCACCCATGACCAATTACCAAGGTCATGGTGCAAATCACAAGTGACATCAGCATTCCGAGGACAGGAAAGGGCATTCAGCCTTATAGTCAGGAAACCGTGAAAAGACAGTTTCTCCTGAAGGAAAATATTCAAGGCGGTGACTTCCTGGTTAGTGGTTTTCCCTCAGACCCCCAAGCATAAAATGGTTGTTGGTAAGAATATGACACTTACCTATGTGGAAAGCAAGGCCGCAAACAAGACTGTATTAGTCCTGAAGCTACTTAATTACTAACACGGCTTGTGAGTTTACCAGGTGCCGGGGCCTGTTCTAAGCTCCTTACGTGCATTAGCCCATCGGATCCTTGGAACGACCCTTGGAGACAGGTACTACGATCTGGCCCACTTACACCACGGGAAATGGAGACACAGAGAGGCACATGCTCAGCCATCCCCAGCCAGGGCCAACCTGCCATGAGAACTGGGTGTTTGCCTCCCACTGAACTTGAGTGCTAATGAGGTCACCCTGATGGGAAACTTTTCGAGCAAATCAATCCCCAGCCTAGAAAGTAAAATCACAAAAGCCATAAAGGAATTTTGCTCCAAACTCTCTCGCCTAGTATCATCTCCCTATCACAGGAAAAAGGAGGCTCATGATTTCATTGGGCCTCCATTTCTTTACAAAATCAGTGCTGTTATGTCAGAGAAGCTCTCACCATGAGGAACCTGTTTCCATCCAATTTCTACAATGTGGACAACAAAGCCCACTGATTGGCAGGTAAACACAAAGCAATTAAGCATACTTAATTTTCAGCTCAAGATGTGCTGTCCATACTAAGTTCAATGTTTTCTTTGTCAGACACAGTTATCCCACAAAACCAGGATAATAGAGATTAATTTCTTCATGCAATAGGAACACAGATGGAGAGGCTGAAGACAAACAAGGAGGCAGGAATAGGCTGCAGTGAGCCCTGGGACAGCCAGCCCTCGTTCCGGCCCCATTCAGTGGGTTACACAGGGTACCAGTCAGCCAGGCCTGTAGGAACATAACTTGGAGAAGAGACACCACTGCAGTTATGGAAGGCCTTTCATTCTGATTGATTTGTAAAATGTGCTCAGACAGGAGCCTCACAGTCAGCTCTAATACAAATGACGGGCCTTTTATTCTTTATTTCCTTAAAGGAGAAAAATCAGGGGTCTGTCTAAGACATACAAAGCCCTCCAAGATCTGGTCCCTGAAGTCCTCACCAGCTACATCACTTCCTGTAAGCAGCTCTTGGATGCTACCCTACAGCCCTGCCACTGTGGCTCAGTTCTGCACTGCTTGTGCAACCCTCTTGCCCCATCTGCTGGAGGGTACTGATTTAAAGACTTGCCACAGCTTCTATGCCCAGTAATAAAACAATGACTCAATTCAGTTCCACCAGCATTTACTGAGGCCTACCATGTGCAAAATGCTATTCCAGGTACCATGGATGATAAGAGCATGATAGGTCCTGGCTGCAGGGAGCTTCCAATCTAGTGGTACAGTATTTAATTCGGAGTAGACTAAGCATCAGAAACTACAGATATGGTGCTGGGGAAAGTCAGAGAGAAGTGAGATTGCATTTGGTTGACAGAATCAAAAAAGGTTCATGGAGGAAATGGTATAAAACATTGGCCTAGCAAAATTGGAAGGATTTCAACAAGCAGTGACTGCATGGGAGAGGGCATTCCATGGGGAGGGTGGCAAATGTACACCAAGCCCTGGGCGGGGGGGCGGCACAGGTTATGAATGCCATGCAAGAGGAAAGCTAAGGAAGAACTCTGGAAAGTCATCCAAAGGAGGGGTCCAAGGACAACACACCGGTGAGGGGTTTTCACAGATGCCCATCACAGGGAGGAAAAGCACGAGGTCGCAAGCATGGTGACATTCTTACCTTTTCTGAATGAGTCCAGGCTGAACATTTCTGGCCAGGAGGGAAAGCTGGAATCCTAAAGAGAAGGATGGCCGAGAAGCAATGGTTAATATGCCGGGTCCAGGAACCCACAGAGAAGACTTCAATAACACAGAGAACACTGTCCAGGAGACGAGAAAAATGAAGCTCATCGCTAATGAGCCCCAACTGTTGCTCCCAATCTCAAGGATGGAAGGGCCACCTCCACTCTAGAGTAATTACATATCTTTGCTTCTTTCTAACTGAGAGCTCTCTTCTCTGGCCTAAACTCCCTGAACCCTGCTAAACAGAAGGCGATGTGTTTCATCGTGAGAGACGTAGATTTCCACCTCATCGGAATATTTGCAGTTTTCTTGGGACTTCTAGGAAGAAATGAAATTCTACATGGACCCCTTTTCTCAGGTGGCATCAGGAAAAGGGGACTGATGACTGCCTTAAGGACCAACTGGTTTACTGGGCTTTCACAAAACCTAGTAAAGCACCTAGTAATGGGACGTTGACTACACTATCAAACAGTAACAATAGTGATTCAAGATAAAAAACTTTTTATGGCAGAATCTCTATGAAATAACAAATATTAAGTTCAACTGTTGGCCAAAAATTTAGGTGCATTTTGCTCATCAGTACATTCAACTAAGGAATCTACCTAGAGACTTAAAAAAACACAAATAAGTAACACCTCTGGTTTAACCATTTTATTTTAAAAAACAAACTCAGACTTATAGATGTTTTTAGTAATGCAGTACTCCGGGGTTGGTGCAATAACATTATGTGGCCTCATTTTAAAAACATCTACACAGTGCTTTAGTAAATCAGGATAATGTACAACTTTCCTAGGAGTTTTATGGGGCCTACACTCCTGCTCCTGACAGCTATTCCCTCTCAGACTCAATCGTGGGACAGTGGGGGGTGGAGGGCTGACCTGGGGCCGAATCTTTCAGGTCCATAGCAGGTCTGCCCTGATGGCCTCCTCTCCCCCAGGGATGCCGGAAATTTCAGCCGATAGGATATGGTAGCTCAGAGAGAAAACTTCAATACAATATCAACAATGATTCAATTTACTTTAAGAAATTACATTCTATAGACTCCTTCTATCTAAAAAAAAAAAGTTGTAATTTGAGATTCTAATTTTAAAGAAAATCTGAATATTATAAAATCTAAAACACCTAAGTGATTATTTATGAAACAATATTTTCTTGCTAAGAAATTAGAATTTGCTTGTAAATAGACCCTTGGTTTTGCTTTTAAAGTCTCCAATCCTCTCTATGCCAACACTATCTTATATAACATATCATATAATACCTCCTTTTCTTGTATCAGACTTAAAAATATAGTATGATATTCAAGGTAGGATCTTTTAGAGACATTTTCCAGAGTTCTAGAACATTTCATAGAGATCCAAAAGAAAGATGCCTTCTTTGTAATACAGTATTATGTTGGAAACCTCCACAGTACAAAGTTTTTCTAAAATAATTTAGAGACAAGTAAAATAATATTATATCAAGATTTCTTGCATAATGAAACACCATTTAATTCCAGGTAAAGTCACTATGAGATGATTCAAGGCCAGAGAGCTTCCATAATGGCTAATTAAAATGATACCCTTCTTCCAAGACAGTCACAAATGAATTTAATAGCATGCCTTTTGCTTTGCAGTGTGGCTGAGCGATCCACCACTGCTTTGTGTGCATGGCTAAATCAACTTACCTTACAAGAGCAGTGAAAGTCTCAGATTTTGTAGGCTTTTGAACTGGAGCTGAATTCTCTCCTTACTATTCCTCATCACGAGGCTGGGCCTCCTCCTGGGAAGGACAATGCTGGGTCACTAAAGAGATGGCCCCCGCAGGAAAAGAAAGTGGTTCCGGATCATTGAAATTCATTTACTAACTCTGACAACAAGGACAAGTTTTGTTAGTGGCATGAAACACACACACTAGACACACTGGCCTCCCTTCAGGACCTGCCGTGACCCACGCTACACCCATCAAAGTGTGAGCTGCCCGACCTCAGCATCTGTAAGATACCAAGAAAAAGATCTCACAGTAGACGTGCTTTTAGTTCTGAAAGTATTTTCTCCAAGCCCGGAGCACAACTTGCTGCAGTTCTGACTTCTACTCCCATCCTGACTATAATATGAACCTATTTAAGGTAGATAAAGCAGCTCTTCCAGGTTGGGAAAAGAACTCGATGTTGAATACCATTTTTAGTTTACTGAAAACTTCCAGAGACCTTATCTCACTTAACCTATGCAACCACCCAGTGAGGTAGGAATTCTTTCCCGGAGAAGGTTACACAATTTGCCCAAGATCCTGTAGCTGCCTCAGGCAGGATGGAAATCTATAGTTCGGGACTGGGCTCCAAAGCTTTCCTAGTTTATACTACACTACTCTCCTAATTTCCATGATATCATGCTGTTGCCTAGATGTCCCATGGGTCAGTCTTTGAAATAATACTTAACAGTGACAGCTTCGAAAGTGAAAGGCCCAAGAAGTGCCCAACTGATAAACTTTGGACCACAGCCACATAAGTTAAAACACATGGAGAGTAAAAATCTTTTAGAGGTAAAGGGATACCCTACACAGGTTTTTAAATGCAGCAAAGGATGTATCTCTTGCTCCTTAAACAGCTACACAGAGCACTATCCTAAATACAAAAAAAAGCAAAAAACAACAAAAAAAAACTATACCAGGAAGAGTCTTTCCTCCTGGAAACTGCAAAACTCCAAGATTTAAGTGTAAATTATAAGATGTGGTCAGCATCCACAATGACAGTGGGATCATTCCCTTCTAAGAATCTGCATCAGACTGGCCAGTAAGTTGCAACCAAAAACAGGTTGCCATCTGCGGTCCACCTGCTACAGTGTATGGCAAAACCCTGTGGACTGGGGGTGCAAAGTGGGACAACCTGTGCCTTGCAAAATCACAATTAAGAAGACCAACGTTGCTACAAGAGTACTAGCTAGACAGCATGATGTCGCCATACTCTTAACTTGGGGGTTCTGAGGACCCCTGGGACTCCAGTTCACTGCAAACAAAGAACCCAACGTGCTTTAGATCCTCTCCTGCGAAATGGGACAAGGCACCACCAGCAAACAAAGAACACCTCACCCCTTGGCCTCCCCCAGTGACAAGGTCGGTGCAAAAGGGGGCCAACCAGGGGGGCCAGAATGCACCAAGCCTTCCTTTGGACGAACAGTGCAGGCCGCATGGGGGGCAGACAAAGGTCCCAGGGAACTCCGGGGGCTCTCTGCAGGCCCTGCCTCGGGAAATGGAGCATCCCCTGAGGCGGAGGCGTCGTTGCGCCAATGAAGAGGCCTCTCCCGCGGCCCCCGCGGAGCCCCTGGCTACCAAGCCGGCCCCAGCGGACCTGACTGGCTCCCGCCCCCGCCCCGGCTCCATGGCAACGGCAGGCCGAGGCCTGGCTGCCCACGATCGGCCCGGCCGGCTTCCCGGGCAGGCCTAGGATGCCCGGCCTGCTCCTCGGGCCCGCCCGCTTCTCCGCCCCACTCTCCGCCGAGCCGACGGTCGGACCCGGGTCCCTCCTCGCGCTGACCACCCCCGGCCGCGGCAAGCTCCTCAAGGGGGCACGAAAGGAGAGAATAAAAAGCCCAATTCACCTGTTGTTACAGATGTGAAACAAGCCTCGGTGCACCGCGCATGAGCCGCGG